GGACTCGCGGAGAGGCCGACGGTCAAGATCCGAACTCCGCCACTCCACTTTGCCCCGCTGCCCACTCAAATTTTAGTAGAAAATCCAAATCCCCCCCTTCGTCTTCTGGTTTCAAATCTAAACTCCCAGTTTCATTTGAATCCCATAAAACCCTAGTGGAAAAAGAAGGGGAAGGATGAGATCGGGAGGCGACCATCACCCGATTCCTCGGACGGTCCACAACCAACCCGTGCGATGAGTTGCCGGTCATGTCGCCGCTGCCGCCCTTTGACAAAGGAGACGACGAACCAGCCGACGGGAGATCCCACTTGGTGGACTTGAGTCGTCGGGGCTTTGGTAGTGGAAGACGTGGGTGGGGAGAGATCGAGGAGATGAGATAGGGGATGGGGATGGACGATATTAGGAGGAGGAAAATGAGGGATTTGACGGAACAGATGGCGGAAGAGGGAGGGAGGGAGGGAGGTTGGTAGTGGTGGTTGGTGGGATTGGGTATTGGATTCATTTCCATTTTTTTATTTTAATTCAAAAAAATTTATTTTATTTTAATTAAAAATGTGATGTGGTAGCCATGTGGCATGACCTGGTATGTTGCAGCTGATGTGGGAGATGAGGTGGCATCCACATCACCATTGTGTTAACGGTGTTAAAGTTTTAAACGGAAATGGCTAATTTTGTCAAACGAATTTCCAAAAAGTGGCTACAACTGTATATTAATTGAAAAGTGGCTATTATTGTCAAACCCGCAAAAGTTATGGCTATGCAAGTGAATTAAACCCAAATTAAAATGCATTAGCAGTCGAAGATATCAAGAATATCACTTTGCATATATATCAAACAATCATTGATTTAGTTAGTCGTAGTGTTTCAAATGGTGTTCTTTGTTAAGAACCGTTAGCATCAATACCTCGAGTTGTTGATAGAGGTTTAAAAATAAATCTTATACCAACCAATAATTCGAATGATGTTCTTAAGAAAATATTTAGTATCAATAAATCGAGTTGTTGGAAGATTTCAATAATATATTATACCATTTACTACCATGCTCCCTTATAAGAAATTTAACTTATACGAAATTGATGTTTGCACAAATCTGTATATCGTATGCTTAAGAAATGAGGTCGCTAAGATTCAAACACAAAACTTTTCGACCAACTATTCTCAATTAAACACGACCCAATTTTCGATATTAATTAACTATCGTACCTAATTTAACCATTTTCCCCCGAACCAGGGTGGGTACCGGGACCCACCCTGTTACCCTCTCCCTCTGCCACTAGCAGAATGTGATTAAATTCATTCCTATGTGTCGACGATTCCCAGGCCATGCGGAAAAATCCCCCCTTTCCTCGGCCCTTTCCTCGGTCGGGCTGGTGTAGTGGCGGAGGCAGGATATGGAACTATACTTCTGTCCTCTTTTCGGAATATAAATATATAAATATTTAAGTTAATAAATATTCAATAAAAGTTAAAACTAATACAAAATAATTTATTCATAGATAAAGAAATAACTAACTTATACAATTATTATTTGCATAAACAACCACAATGAGTTTTCATATTCTGAAAGTTATGCAAAATATATTCGTTGTCTACACTCTTAAGCAAGTAGTTCAATGTATCCCACTAAACAATCATTAGCAAACTTATCGCCAATTCGACTTTGAAACTTGTTCTTAATATAGGTCAAACTAAAAATGTTCTTTCTACACTTACAGTTGCAACTAGTAGAATGACGATTAGCTTCATAAGCAAATAAAACTGACGGAATGATGCACTTTTGCCTCCAACATTACTCGAGATAATTAATCATTAGCAAGCTATTGTCGAATAACAGTGCAATGAGTGAAACCAATAAATTAATTAGTTTTCTGTTACGAACAAATAATGAGTTGTGGTGTCGTGTCGTGTCGTGTCGTGGCAAAACATCTTATGTTACTTGTTGTGGGTGTGGTATCTTTTTCCTCTCCTCAAAAGTACTCATGTCCCGTGACAATGGCCAAGTGCCTTGGCTACGCCTATGGGTGGTGTAATCTAAAATGGCCACTCAACTTTTGTAAGGGCGCTAAGGACGGTCACGGTCGCTGGGTGGATATGATTTTTTCTCTATCCAACTCAAATTTGTTTGCCGATTATATACATGCGTTTTGTTTAAAAATTATCATTATTTTTCTCAACTTATTTAATATTTCACTTATTGATAATTGTGGATACCGAGAATTCCAACAAACATGAATATAATTTTAAAAATCTACCCGATTCTTCATTCTTACATAATAAAAAGTCAAATGATTTTTAGTAGTATAATAGATACCCACTATCTGCACAAGTGTACGTGGGCACCGGGCCATGCCGTCTACGGGCTAGCACGGCACGGTTAGAGCACGGCACGAGCAAGGGCACGAAATAAATGGGCCAGCCCGGCACGAGCACGAATAATTTATGGGCCGTGTCGGGCCTAAACTTCATTGGCACGGGCACGAGCATTGGCACGACACGGTATATAAGTGATCCGTATCGGGCCTAATATTTTCGAGACTTTATTGAGTATAAAAACGAACATGACACGAAAATAATATTTTTTTTGATAGAAAATAAATATAAAAAGAATTAAAAGTTCAAATATAACAAAACAGAAGTAGAAAAATAATTATTTGTTGTTGTTAGAAGTATCATAATGATATATATGTAATTATTAACATAAGTAAAAATGGACAAAGAATTAAACAAAACCAAATCACACTCGCTATACTTCCAATTTTCATTTCCCCTGATTTATTGCTTTTCTCAAACATTATCGGTTAATACTATATTCTTTTTCCAATTTTTACTTTCTTTCTCATTCTCTCTTTTGTTTTTGTCCTTTTCATTAAACACGAATACGAGCATTAGGGGTGTACATGGGTCGGGTGGTTCGGGTTTAGTCATTTTAATCACTCGACCCATGCACTATGGTTTGGGAAATATCAAACCCAAACCCACCCAAAAAAATTTAATCCCTAAGGTTTTTTTCTAATTGGGTTGGGTCGGGTTGGCGATATTTTTAAGCAAAAACCCAACCCAACATAAAATATATAATTATTCTATATCATAAAAATATTTTATAACTAATTAAAATTTCAAACGAATGAACCGAGTTGAAAAAAGGTATCAAAATTCACAAATGTTGTTTGAATTTTAATAAAATGTGATCTACTTCAACATATGTCTTGTTTTTTTCACAATATTTTTTGAAATAGGCTAAAAATGTTATAAACAAACGCGCCCATAATATGTTATTCTATTAAAATTGTACACAAGAAAAAGGATTACATGAATCATAACTATATTCAATTTATGTCTAAACTTTAAGTCGAAGAATGCATTAGATTAGGGAGACCGTGAGAGAAAAACATGCCGAAATATCTTAATTTTCTCATAAGTATATGACTATATACGACATAAATATTTTTTAGATTCGAACTCATACTAATAGTTGGAACACGGGTTGGGTCGGGTTCTACGGGTTGTGTAATCCAAAATCCAAACCCAACCCAAAGGAGGCGGGTTGTACAAAAGAAAACCCTCACCCAACCCAAAACCTTCATTTTAGCGATAAATACGGGTGGGTTGGGTCGGGTTGGACGGATGGGTCGATTTGCGGGTGTGTTTGTTCACCCCTAACGAGCATGACATGAACACGAATAGGCACAGCAAGATTCGAACCGTGCCCGGGCCTGGGTCGGGCCTAACAAAGTTAACAAATGGGCTTGCATGACACGGTACGAAAACTGATGGACCGTGCCAAATACGACACGAAATAAGCCCAAGCACGGCAAGTATACCCGTGGTCATTCCTACTCGTATTTCAAGGCTCAAATGATTATGCACGGGCTCTTAAGAATAACTTAAGATGATACGTGTAAGTTTTGGAGAGAATTAACTTCAACCAAAAGTTGAGAAGACTAGTAGCTAGGATTGGTCCATGATATAATAATAATAATGATGCCATTGGTACTGCCAGAGTCCAGCAAGGCAGGAACTAGCTAGGTCTAGGTGGGTGGATTATTACTGTCAAAATTATAATACTATATATGGGCATATGATGTCATTATTCCGTCACTAGTAAGTATTACTAGTACTGGGGTTTATTTCTTTCTGAATCCAATGCGCCTTTTGGGTGTTGCACCAATTTGACATTAACCCCAGCGCCAGTACTTCTCACCATTTCTTTCTGAGATCGATCAATTTGTTCAAAATGGTGCTAGCTCAGCTCGAAGAAAGATTGCATCTTTAGAGATAAGGATAGATCGTTTCTTTGATTTGTTCAGAAGATTAGTCACATGGTGGGTAGTTGGACAAAGGCTTTCCATATGGGGGTGCATGTATGTAGGAAGTTGAATATATGGGTCCACTAATTCAGTAATCAGATCATGAAGGACTGGACAATTGTGAGCTAGACAAGTATAATAATACCTTAATCAATCTCAATATTTCGATTTTCTTTATATTCGAGAAGATATAATAATTATGATTAACTAAATCACGTACGATTTGGTACAATTTATGATTTAATCACAAACCAAACTTACACTTTAGCTCATCCGCTCAATCTTATGCCCACAAATATGTATATATCGATTTTCTTTTGAGGACAAAAAAGAAAGAGCTTATTATTTATTGATGGTGAACTATTACCAAAAAAGAATTATTGATGGTGAACAAAAGATAAGCTAAAATTCATCAAAAAAAAAAAAAAAAAAAAAGATAAGCTAATGATGAACAAAGGACAATGGTGGGAGGTGGAATTAGGCAAGTGGGAACTCACCAAAACCATGAAAAAAGCCACAAAAAAAATATATATGCGGAATTAAGTTGACTTCCACTTTCTTTTTGATGAATGAAGGTCTCTCCTCCTTTTTGTTCATTCCTCCACTTCAATCAAAACCTCTATTACTTTCTCTCTTTTTCCAAATATTTAAGTCTTTATTTATTTCTAATTGAGCTCCTTTTCTAGGCCATCCATCTATATAAAGTATAAACCCACACCTTAGACTGTCCACAGCAAGAAGGGAAAAAGAGGATAAAAGGGGAAAAAAGGAGAAGATGGCTCACAATAAGGGTAGGTATTATGGAAAAAAAGGATAAAAGGGAAAGAAGGGGAGGGTTTATCCTGCGCTAGAGGTTAAAAGAAGGAGGGGAAGTGGGTCCAGGTGGGTGGGAGGAGGAAGGGAAGGGGGGACCATGTGGGTGGTTTTTTTTTTTTGTTTTTTGTTTTTAAAAATTGTTTTATGGTTTTCTTATTGGATTTTTATGAGTTATTGGATTTTAGTGATAAATTTTTTTATGTCCAAATTAAAAAAAATTATATCGAAATGTTCGTCTTAATTAATTAATACTACCTATATAAAAATAATGAATAAATTATCAAAATAAAGTTACCATATCAACTCTAGATTGATTTTGAAAAAAAAAACCCCTCCTCAATACCCTTTTTTCCCTACCACCTATTGTGGCCATTGTCCTTCTCTTATCCTTTTTTCCCACTTTTCCCATCCTTTTTTTCCTTTTTTCCCTTCCACCATTGTGGATAGTCTTATCATCCCATTTCTAACCCTAAACTACAAAACCTTTCACTTAGCTTGCTGCCTTAGATATCCTTTACACCCATTATACCGTGAATCCTCTTTTCATATCTCAAGATGGTACTGATGATGAAGAGGAAGTGTTTAGGAGTGCTGCTAATTACTCTTCTCTTGTTCATCTTTTTGGCTCTCTCCTTTGTCAAATCTTCCATTGCAGTCCCTACAACCAGTGAGTAGTGAATTTCTAGCCTGCTGCAGCTAGAGATTATTTAATCTTTGAAGTTGATTTCTTGTTTATCGGTTAAGGATGTGATCAAGAGTACTTAAATGACAAGTACCATCGTCTTAATCATGTCATGTGCAGGAAGCCTGATGATCAACCTTGCAGGGAACCCTTCCCCATCTGTACTTCAACATGGCTTACCGTCTCAGGTTTGATATGAACATGTTGAAATTTGGACAGTACATAGATTAATTAGTAAATATATATGGTGATCATAATGTAATTTTTCAATTTTCAGGGTGCAACAGTGATGAAGTTGAGTGATGATGTAGTAATTACTGAAGGAAGGATGGTGGTGGAGAGCTTGGATTATCCTGGAACAGGAGCCAACAACCACCATGACCCTAAAACCCCTGGCAGATCTTAATTACAACTAATTATTATTATTATTATTAGTTTTCAATTAGTTAATTATCTGTCTGTATGGGTGGGTGGGGTGGTGTTTGCTGATACATATTAGCATGTTTACATGCATGTGGCCTAGCTAGCTATACACTCTGTTTGGGAAGAGGTGCAAATGGTGGGAGTGCAATGTGGAGGTGCAAATGGTGCTTTCAATGAATTTGCACTTATTTGGTTAAATTCCAACAGTAGGAGGGGGAGCAAGTTGGGGGTTTTTCTACTGTTTTGGTGTGCCCTCCGATTTGAGGTGCAAGGGAGAGAGAAGGGAGAAGGAAAAAAAGAAAAATGGAGGTGGGGCCTGAGAGGAGGAAGTTGTGCGGCTGAGGGGAAGGAAAGATATGAGAAATGGGAGAGAAGGTGGGGCCAAGTTGGGTGTGATGTAGATTTTTTATGTAGTTTTTTAATTGGAATTATTTTTATATAAAAATTTGCACCCTCCTACTTTTTTTACCAAACAACAATTTGCACCCTCCTTCAATTTGTTCCCCCTAGAATTTGCACCTCAATTTGTACCCCCTCGAATTTGCACCCACCTCGTTGCCAAACAGAGCATATAGTCTCTCAGGAGTTGTACTATAATTCATGTAATGTAATCTTAATTAACTTCAGGATTAATGCTTTGTATGTATAGAAAAAAGGAACTATATAATGGTGTTTGGTCTTATTATTATTATTTTTATTAGCAATTTTGAGAGCAACTAGGGGCGTCTTGTTAGTATATAGAGTAGTTATAGATACAAATTGTAATATTTGTTTAATTCAGGTACTGTATTGTAATTTAGTTTAAAAGAACTGATATAAATATTGGAAAAAGAATATTGTAAATTTACTTTTGGTGAAATAAAATAGAACTGTTTTCTCTTTCGTAACATTGTATTAGAACAAACGTGTTTCTCTGACTAGTTTCTTTTGCTTCCGCTATCCAATCTAGGGTTTCTGTTTCTCGAAGCCTTCTCCAATGGCGACTTCTTCGTCTTTCCAGCCGCCTCGTCCTCTCGTAGCGACTCTCGCGCCTAATCATCCATACTACATCAGCTCCGGTGATTCCTCGATGACGCAACTCGTGTCAATCGTGCTTACCGGGCCGAATTACCACTCTTGGGCGAGGTCCATGCGTTTTGGTCTTTTATCGAAAAACAAGCACACCTTCATCGATCCTGCTGTTGCGACGCCGCCGCCCGGTGATCCTCTCTACTCTGCTTGGCAGTAGTGCGCCACAATGGTGCTTGGCTAGATTATCCATTCGTTAGCTCCAGACATCGGACAAAGCGTTCTCTAGCTCAACTCCGCGGTCAAGGTCTGGAGAGATCTCAACGAACGTTTCAGCATCACCAATCTTGTTCGCATTGCCGACTTGCCGGACGAGGTCTTCAACCTCAAGCAGGGTAGTATGTATGTGAGTGAGTTCTCTACCAAGCTTAGGGTTCTTTGGGATGAATTGATAACATATCGTCCAATTAGGTTTTGCTTGTGTGTTCCAAAGTGTTCTTGTGCTGAGTATGCTAGATCTGACCAGATTATTCGGTTCTTGAGAGGACTTGGAGAGGATTTTGAGTCTGTTAGTTCTTCGATCTTGTTGATGGATCCTCTTACTCCTATCAACAAGGTTTTCTCCATGATAGTCCAGTTTGAGCGTCAGAACAAGGTCTCCAGTACTGTTAATTCCAACCCATTAGCTTGTGCTGTCCAGAACAGCTAGTATAGGGGAAATAATCAGTCTAAACGTCATGTCTGTTCTTTCTGTGGTTTGACTGGTCATACTATAGATAAATGCTTTAAAAAACATGGTTACCCCCTGGTTACAAAGGCAAGTCTTGGGTTAATGCTGTAGTGAGTGAGCCTACTGATGTCTCTGTTTCCATAGAGAACGGAAGTCAAGCTTCCGATTCAATTGTTACACAGCAGCAGTATCGAGCTTTGGTTGCTCAACAATTCTCTGTGAGTCAACTATCAGCTGTCTCTCATGTCCCAGTGGCTAATGCTTTCACATCTTGCTACTTCTGAGTCTTCAACATCTGCTTCTTCTTCGGGAGGTAAGTATGTTCTAGCCAATAGCAATGTAAAAGTAGATATGGTTTCTTGGGTCATAGAAAATGGGGCTTCTGATCATGTCATATTTATATTAGAGTATTTTAGTTCTTATTCTGCTGTTAATGGTATTAACGTTTCACTTCCAAATGGTGCAAAAGTACTAGTCACACATATTGGTACTGTTGCCTTGTTTGGTTCATTAGAACTTAGGAATGTTCTCTATATTCCTTTGTTCGGCTTCAATCTAATCTCTGTAAGCAGATTAACCAAGCATACAACTTGTTCCTTGACATTTTTTTCACAATCATTGCATTATTCAGGATCTGGTCTCCCACAAGATGATTGGTACAACTACAGAGTCTGGTGGGCTTTACTACTTCACAACTGATTCCAACAGCCCAACCTCTCTTCCTGACCCAATCACTGGCCCTGCACCAGAATCTAGATGGCTGTCTGTTGGTTTTTATTCAACTATTCATGACATTGATATTTGCCATTACTGGCTTGGACATGCTTCATGCAATCCTTTGCAAACTATTATGTCTAAGAATAGTAGTGTTACTTCTGTTAAACACAAATATTGTTCTGTTTGTCCCATGGCCAAGCAGAAACGCTTGCCATTCATGGGAAGTGATTCTCATGCTGTTGCTTTGTTTGATTTGGTCTACATTGATATATGGGGTCCATATGGTGTTACCTCTGTAGATGGTTATCGGTATTTTTTAACTATCGTTGATGATTTCTCACGAAATATACTTGGGTCTATCTGATGCATAAGAAGTTTGAAGCACGTGAATTGTTAGTTTGCTTTATTAGTTATGTTCAAACTCAACATAATCTCAAACTTAAGGTTATTCGATCTGACAATGGCCTCGAGTTTCACGTGCCTTCTTTTTATAGTTCTTTAGGAATAGTACATCAGACTACATGTGTTGCATCCTCACAGCAAAACGGTCGGGTGGAGCACAAGCAGCAACACATTATTGTTGTTGCTCGTGCCCTGTTATTTCAGTTTTTTCTTCCTTCAAAATTCTGGAGTCATGCTGTCTTACATGCTACGTTCTTAATAAATCGACTACCAAGTCCTGTCTTAGATAATAAGTCTCCATATGAGTTGTTGCATCAATCTGTTCCTGATTATTCTAGTTTCCGTGTATTTGGTTGTTTAGTTTACATGTCTACTTTAGCACACAATCGACCAAAGTTTGAGCCTAGAGCTCAGCCTTGCATATTTCTAGGATTTCCATTTGCTACTAAAGGCTGTAAACTGTACAATCTAGTTACAGAGTCTTTGTGTGAGTCTCGTGATGTAGTATTTCATGAAAATGTTTTTCCATTTTTTCCAAAGATTTTCCCATGACTCTTCTGATTTTGTTTTTCCAATCATTTCTGTTTCGTCAATGGATGGTACTACATCTCATGATGTTAGTGCTAATCCAGATTCTTCATTCTTCTACCATTTTGGCCCCCGACCTACATCCTTCATCTGATTCTTCTTCCTCCTCTGTTTCGAATAATAATGACGATGGAGTTGCTCCTCCTGAGTACCCTCCATTATTTGATGATGAACCAGAATGTTTACCTCCTCGAAAGAGGCAACCTCCTCTTAAATTGCGTGATTATGTCTGTAATTTAGTGTTTGATTCTGCTGTTTCATATCATTTATCTTATGTTTATCTACAAACAGACTTGCTAACCATCATTCCAAGTTTGCTTTAACTGTTTCTTCTGTTGTAGTACCTAAAACATACAAGGAAGCTTCTCAAGATGAGAAATGGAATGAAGTTATGGATCTGGAAATAGATGCTCTTCTTCGAACCAACACTTTCACAGTTATACCGAAGCCGCCAAATGTAAAACCCATTGGGAACAAATGGGTTTACAAGGTAAAATTTCATTCCGATGGAACAGTCGAGCGAGAAAAAGCTCGACTTGTCGCCAAAGGTTATACACAAACATCAGGCATAGATTACTTAGATACTTTTTCTCCAGTAACTAAGGCCATATTTAGTATTGTTGCTTCTTTTTGTTTTCTGTTGTGTTCTTAAAAATTGTGGAAACCAATGAGAAAAAAACATGTTTAGTTTTGTTTCTCATTTTTGTTATGTAAAAGATTTTCAAACAAGGTCCGAATCAGAGAACAACAATTTATTGCTTTGGATATGATTCATAGATTTGTTTTACATGGGTTTCTTATGGGTTGAGGAACTGATTTCATTAAACCCACCCTCATTTTGAATCCCACGTCTGACTTAAAGGTATACAATTAACCCAAACCCTCCCAACTCTACTCTCAGCCCTCACAAAATCTCCTATTTTCCTTCCTCCTCTCCGTCGTATTGGCCATCTCTGCACATTCTTCCTTCCTCTCCGCCCTCCGCCGCACCATTTTCTTTTTCCACTATGCGAAGCCAACCAATCGCCCCACCTTCTTCTTCTTCCTCCGTGTTGCCGCCCTCATGCTCTCCCCTTCCTCCACCCGCCGCCGCCGATCGGAGTAAAAAGTGGGTTGTGGGAAATTGAAACTCGTCGTCGCCACAGCCAGTGCTTCCACCTCTGTGTCCCAAAATAAATCCCCCACCAAGAAGAGCAGCAGTACATGAGACGCGAGCAAGAGCATGAGAGAACACGCCGCCGTTCGCGAATCAAAACTTATCAAGCGATTATAATGGCAATGCGGCGGCGGTGGAAACGAAGCGAGAAGCAGAGTTGGGGAAATTGATATCCTGAGATGGTTCATTTCGTCACACAAGGACGTGGAACTCATCGGCGACGGGTGAAACATTGACAATAGCGCTGAAGATGGTGGGGAGAAAGCTGTAACGGCGGTGGTGGTGGGAGAGGCAGCCGGGGATGGCGTGGACACCATTGTCCTAATTGAACCCGAAGCTTCAGAGACGAAGCCGCAACAATGCGATCATTTCTCTGCTTTCTGGTTTCCCGTTCTAGTAACTAAACGTGTTTCTATTTTTTTTTTGTCAACTTTTATAATTGTTTAAATTTATCACCTAAACGAGCTAGTGTTTTCTGTTTCCTTAATGTTGTGGTTGTACGTCTGTTTACACAGCTCCAATACAACCACAACAGCAACAAAATGATACTAAACGGGGCCTAAGTTAACTATTGTCCGGTCTTTACTTGCTTTAGCTTCCATAAAAGGCTGGCATTTACATCAATCAAATGTAAATAATGCCTTCCTTCACGGAGATTTAGTTGGGGATGTTTATATGAAACTTCCATTGGGTCTGAAAATTTCTGGTGACACTTCTAATATGGATTGTAAACTAAATAAGTCCCTTTATGGACTTAAACAAGCTAGTCGACAATGGAATCACAAGTGAACAGAATTTCTTTTACAAGCTGGATATACTCAATCAAAAACAGATTATTCTTTGTTTACAAAACACCGAGATGGTCAGTTCCTTGCTATTTTGGTTTATGTTGATGACATTATATTAGCTGGTGATTTCTTAAGTGAAATAGATTCCCTCAAAAAGAAGTTAGATGATGCCTTTAAAATCAAAGATCTCGACAAGCTTAAATACTTTCTAGGTCTCGAGATAGCTAGAAATAAAATAGGGATTTCCACTTGTCAACATAAGTATGTCCTAGACTTGTTAAATGATTCTGGTTTACTTGGAGCCAAACTCGTGGCCACTCCTTGTAATCCAGGAGTTAGGCTTTCCATTAAATCTGGTACTCTTTTAGAGGATTCCTCTGTATACAGAAGGTTGGTTGGGTGTTTATTGTACTTCTGCAATACACGTCCTGATATTGCTTTTGCTGTTCACCAGTTGACACAGTTTATGAGTGCTCCAACTGACATTCATATGGCAGCTTCTCATCGTGTTTTACATTACCTGAAAGGGTCTCCTGAACTTGGTTTATTTTTTCCATCACACACTGACTTGTCTCTTAAGGCATTTTCTGACTATGACTGGGCAGGCTATCCCGATTCTCAAAGATCAACAACTGGGTTTTGTGTCTTATTGGGTGCTTCTTTGATATCATGGCGTTCCAAGAAGCAACAGACCATTTCTCGATCATCAACTGAGGCTGAGTATCGAGCCATGGCTGATCTTACATGCGATATTCAGTGGCTTAATTATCTTTTTGCAGATTTAGGACTTTTGTTTACTAAGCCTACTGCCATGTTTTTTGATAGTCAATCTGCCATTAGAATAGCCGAGAATCTAGTTGCTCATGACGAGACTAAGCATATTGAGTTGGATTGTCACTTAACACGGGATAAGATTGCTTCTGGTTTGATTAAATTACTTCATGTTTCTACTTCTAATCAGGTTGCTGATTTGTTTACAAAATCTCTGTCTACTGCTGTGTTTTCAGGTTTTGTTTTCAAGCTGGGCACTTTGGACATACATCCTCCAGCTTGAGGGAGGGTGTTAGTATGTAGAGTAGTTATAGATACAAATTGTAATATTTGTACAATTCAGGTACTGTATTGTAATTTAGTTTAATAGAACTGATATAAATATTGTAAACAGAATATTGTAAATTTACTTTTGGTGAAATAAAATAGAACTATTTTCTCTCTCATAACATGTCCTAAACAGGAATACATACTAGCTAGATATCATAAGACTGATCAAGGAGATAGTATACATACTAGATATCACTAATTTTTTACCCGCCCGTTGGGTTGTGGATTATGTTTGGTTAGTTTATAATTCGTTATAGTATTATAATTATTCTAATTATTATTTATTTTTGTTGACTCACCAAAAAAAATATTTTTTTTTAGCTAATATACATGGAATTGTAAATCTCACGTACCTTATTTTAGGTAATGTTTCATACTTTTATACCTTTTTTATTTAAGGAAAATTTAATTGTATTAACTGAGCTCTTTGTAGGTTGTTCTTTACCGATTTAGAATTTTGTATCGAACTCAAAAAAGTGATAAAGAAGTTAAAAAATTGAAGGCCTCAAACGAAGAAGTTAGAATAAGAAAATATGCGTCAATTAGTAAATAAAAAAGCGAAGAGCTTTTCATTTTCTTTCCCTTCTCATATGTCGGTATAAGATAATAGAGAATATTCCGATCTAGATTCCACGAATATCGTGTATTATCAGTTACACCTACAATTATGGAATAATGATGAAACAATTAGCATCCACATCCATCAATCTTCCGCATACTCATTTAATTTATCTTGCCAATGTTCTAGCAAAACCAATCACAAACAGAACTATCAGTTGTCACTAATTTATTAAAGCAATATTTTCGGCAAACTAAACTGCATATAAACACAATTTATATTTTATAGAGAGCTACATATCTCTTGAAGGAAAATATGGTGCTTTTTTTACCAAATAACAACATAGACAAATAATGAAAGGAGTATACTTCAATACAGCTCAACTCATTCTATCTTGCATGTTCCTAATTTGTTAACTGAATTTATGCACTAATCCAAATAGTAGTTGGTAAGAAAACAATCATGTCAAAATCAAATTTTAGTTAGGGATTCAATGAGAAAAATCCACCCTAATGAAACAAACAAAATGCCATTGCAAACGTGTAGAAATTGAAAAAATATAGAAATACACAATCGAGGAACCACCGCCATCATTTTCTTTCTTCTTCGCAGCCTTTATAAAACCCCATTTATGTTCCCTTCTACTTATAATCACTTTGCTACCTACTAATTACTAACCAGATTGTCATCTTATAGCTAGCTGGTAAGCATGTCAATCATGAACGTAAAGAATATAATGAACAACCTCACAACTCTACTTTCCATTTCAACATCTAAAGAATCGGGTTGCAATAGGCATTTACGAAAAACGATCAATTATTCAACCAAATGATATATGTCCTGAGTTCAACCAATTATCCCTTCTAATTATATATATTACCTATTTACATAAAAGTATATGACGTAATATAGAACATAAAGCAAATACGTGAAAAACGAAGAAGAAATGCATTCACTCATGACTCATCGAGTGGGAGAAATTTACCATCCAGCGGTCTTAATTTGGAAGAAATTAAGAAAAGAATGAAAAGAAGAGTGAGTAGTTGTCAACTTCAGATTAAGGAGGAAGAAGGAGCAATAGACAATCCTCGATTTGGTTCACCTCGTCTTCACAATGATAGGATGAATCGTTTTCATCAACATGCAAAAATATGTTACAACTTCTCAAAATTTTGCAATCTAATCGTTGCCTCGTATACCTCCCTTCTCCTACTCTCCTACAAAGAAAAAATACTTCATATGCATTATCATTTCCTTCTATATCTAATTTCTCATTTTCAATGTTGGATTTTATTTCTGGAGACATAATCAAAATGGGAAAAGGGTAGAGATAAATTAAAAGGTCATAATTAATAAGTTTTCATTTAATCGGAATGAATAAGAAGTATTTTAAAAAAATAACAATTATTGCTCTGTCAAGTTTATCTTTAGACCTTTTTCTATATAAATTATACTTGTTTTATTTTATAAGTATATGCATCAGGAATAAGTGAGTGTTTGATAGCAAAAAATGTATAGTCATAGAGTTTATTTTTCAAAGTCGATTGATTGTCAAACACTTATTTTCTCTTAGGCCATCGTTTAAATTTTATTTAATTGAAAAATTATTATTATTCATATGTGTGCTTCTTTTTATTCATCAAAATGTAACTTATTATAAAATTTTAGTAAAAATTAATAGAAAATTTACTTAATGAGATTTAATAAGATATTTTTGGGTTAAACAAACACGATTTATGTCACTCTCTATTTTCATCTTTATAGTTTGTTTAATTAAAAAAAGATTATAACTTGTGTGTGTTTGTTTGTTTAAATGTTTGAAAAAATGTAACTTCTTTTAAGTTTTAGTAAAAATGAGTAAAATTATTAAAAGAAGAAGAGATAGCTCAATAAATAAAATTTTGTTTGTATAAACATTGTCCAGATAAATCAGATTTAACGGACTATTTCTCTCTCGTTTTAAGTCAAAATTTAATTTTTTTCACAGATAAATCAGATTAAATGTGCTCTTTAAAATGATATCCACTTTGAGATATTTTTAGTACAAAAAAATATTGAATAATTTTTACCAGTCGTTACCATATGGTATGCTCCTATTTAATACCATATGGTAAGAAAGCGTACCATGATGGTATGAACATACCAATATGGTAAGAAGGTTGAATACATGATAGTAGGAGTATACTAACTGTCATTTACGACTTTCATCATTGTTTACCACAAGTTACCACTCACATACCATAGTGGTAAAGGATGGTAATTTTTTATCGAGTATTTTTTTCACCCAGAAACTTAAATCTAAAGGTCCAGATTTAGTTACTTATAGGTCAGTAACCAATGGTTACTGACCCTATCCTAAACCGAATTTGAGGGGAGCGGATCAGGTCAGTACCTCTATGATCAGTAACCATGAGTAACTTGTCCACATTAGCATGACATCAGTATCCTCTCTCTCCTGGAAAATCTTTTATCTTTCACCCTTTAATCTTTAATGGACGATTTCTCTCTCGTTTTAAGTCGAAATTTAATTTTTTTTTTGCACAGATAAATCAGATTAAATGTGCTCTTTAAAATGATATCCACTTTTATATATTTTTAGTACAAAAAATTGAATAATTTTTTACCAGTCATTACCATATGGTATGCTCCAATTTAATACCATATGATAAGAAAGCGTACCATGATAGTATGAACATACCAATATGGTAAGAAGGTTGAATACATGATAGTAGGAGTATATTAACTGTCATTTATGACTTTCATTATTGTTTACTACAAGTTACCACAAGTTACCACCCACATACCATAGTGGTAAAGTATGGTAATTTTTTATCCAGTAATTTTTTCACCCAGAAATTTAGAGATCCAATAGATCATGATGAACTCGTTCCTTCTAAGCAAACATTTTCAAAAACGAATTAAAAACGAAAAAGTTACCATATGGTATGTAGTTGGTAAAAAAAAGTTTCTCGAAATATATTGAAAATTGATCTCATTTTGTAGAGCACAATGAACTCGTTCCATCTGTGCAAAAAAAAAAAAAATTTGAAATCCGAGTTAGAACAAAGAAGATAAGAACCGATTAAGAAAACTAGAGAAAATAAAATGCATTTAATTGACAACCCTTATATCTGAATTTACTGGACCCACTTAAATCTAAATGTCCAAATTTAGTTACTCACATGTTAGTAACCATTGGTTACTGACCCTATTCTAAGCCGAATTCTATTATGTACCAGAGAGGGTGTTATAAAGCTCTACTCGACAAGTTAATAGGAGCATTAATATAGTATTAACTATATTGGAAGGAACGATATTATTTGGTTCTATCATGTCATTATATTATATTGTATTGTGGGGTGTAATATTAAAAACGTGCCCTTCAGATTATTTTTTATTTTGCATTATGGACCATTTTTCTTATATTTAGTGGTATTTGGAGATATTTTGTCATTTTTGTGGGAGTAATTTGGAAACTTATTGAGGGATTATTTTGTTATTTAGAAGAATTATGAGTAGTATGATGTAATTATTGAATTCTATATATTTTGTAATATGCAGGGATAGGGTACAAAACTCACCATTGCAAAACTACTAATAAACTCCATTATCCATCCTCCATCGTTCATATATGATGGTCTAGATTAATTTGAAACAAATAAAAAATTTAGAGGGGTCCACTAGTAATTCCGAGCGCCATAGTTTTTTTCCCTAACAGTCTGACGCGAAAGTCAGAGGAGAGAAGGGAGAGAACTGACACGTCAAATACTAATTTTTATAATCCCTATTTTTCTAAATAGGATTCTATAACATTCATTTTAACTTAGATAGAAAGAACCCATTAATTCAGAAAGGCAAGGAGAAAGTGGATGAAGTTGTAGTAGTGCAAGTTGATGATGCAGGGCAGGATAAGGCCAGAAGTTCACAGGTTAATGAACCAGAAGTTAATGCCAAGTCTGTTGCCTCTAGTATTGTGGAAAGCACGTCTAGTAATCTTCATGGGCCTGATGATGATGGTTTGAAGTTGGTTACTAATAGAAAGAACAGGGTTAGGGCTCCTAATCCCGCTTCTGCTGCTAAGAGACCATGGAATCTATTTTATGGTCCTAGGAAATCACAGCTGGATGATAAGGTTTTTCCCTCCTTGAGTAAACCTGTCTGGAGAACGAGTGTTGAGCCTCCTCCACCTGCCAAAGGTAGAGGGAGAGACAAGAAACGTGGGAAATGAAGGTTCTCAGCTGGAATGTCAAGGGCTTCAATGCTCCTGAAAAGCACTCAGTCGTGCTTAAAACATTTCATGTTCTTTCTTATAGCAATTATGGAAACTAGAATTACAGCAGAGAATAATGAGGATATAATTAAATGTAGCTTTAGTCATTTACATTATATGAATAATTACCCCAAGTAATTATTTTGGAAGGATGGTATTACTGTTACAAAGTTAGAAAATGGTAAACACTTCTTGAAAGTTCTGGTTGGAGGACTCACTCCTCTGGTCCTTCTGATTGTATACAGTCCAAACAAGGAAGCTGAGAGGGTGCTCTTATACAGGGATCT